CTCACTACACCACTACCACCTCCACTTCACCTACTCCTTACCTACTACACACTCACCCTCTTCTATATATAGGAATCATTGTAAAAATCAATATCAATCAATCAATAATACAATTCTCTATTTCTCTTTATACATTAAATTTCTTCATGGTATCAGAGCCATAAGATTTAGGCCCGTATTTTGTTTTCTCACCGGCGGGCAGCCCGCCGGCAACCTTGCCTTCGCTGCCCGCTGGAATTTTGTACACATACCTTCACTTTCCTGCATCTTCCAACTTTCTTACAACTGTTGTCCCATAGATGGGCTTCATATCTACCAGTCCATCTATGCCTTGTGACACCTCTATACTGTGAAGTCCTCTGTCCAAATGTATCAATGGACTTCCTATGGCCAGCATCCTCTTGCCCTGGAAACAGATATCTATTGAGCTGCATCCTCAGAAAATCTAGCATCAAAAGGTGCAGAAGGATGGGGATGCGATGAACCTCCAGCAGTTCCAGAACCCGGCTGAAGTTCAATCACCAGCCACCGGACCGCTTTACTCATCTGTTCCAACCTAACTGCACTGATAGGCGGAAGACCAGTTGTGACAGCCTGCCCTGGCTTTCCAGTCACCGAGCCAGTGGCTTCATCAACCAGGCACTCCGACCCTACCCTTTGCTTCACAGACTCCACGAACTCTTCAGCTTGATCACAAGCCACTCTGAACAGTTCTTGACACTGCTTAAAGTTTTCTAGAGCAGCAACAGTAACTGCTGTTTTCTGGCCACCGGAACTCTCCTTAGCTTCAAGCACGCCAGCTGCTGCAGCAACAAACTCCTGAGCTTGAGTTCGAGGCAATCAGAGAGAGAGAGTGGTAGTGGTACTGCTTTTGGGCGAAGGGACAGAAATCATCACATTTCTCACCTATTTTGTCCTCCACTTTACACCCGTCCAGAGGCACTGCAAGCATCAGCGCAGTCGCTGGCTCATTTGGTTATATTCCCCCAGAGTATGCATAAACAATGCAAGTTACAGCACCGGGAAATGTCTACAGCTATGGTGTTGTTTTGCTTGAGATTCTCACAACCCGACTACCAGTTGATGAGGCCTTTGGTGAAGGGATAGATTTGGTGAAGTGGGTTCACAATGCACCAGCAAGAGGGGAAACTCCAGAGCAGATACTCGACGCGAAGCTCAGCACCGTCTCCTTCACCTGGAGAAAAGAAATGCTTGCAGCGCTAAAGGTTGCACTGCTCTGCACCGACAACACACCAGCCAAGCGGCCCAAAATGAAAAAAGTGGTGGAAATGCTTCAAGAAATCACACAAAACTAGAACAAATTCAATTGGGTTTTCCTTATTCTTGATCTCTGTGATCAAAAATCCAATGGCCAGGATATGAAGAACATATTATGCAGAGTATACTGCCGGTTCTGTATTGGAGTTGATGGGCAAAATATTTTTCAGAAGTGGAAGAAGAAGAAATTGGTGGAGGGTTCATTCAAGAAGTGTCCTCCAATGAGGGATTAATCTGTGGTGGTGTTGATATTAGGGTTTAAATTTTACAATTGAGTTCTTGGTTTCTAGATGTGTTTGGGAATATATGCACTCTGTGATGATGAGTAACTATGAATCTCCCAAATGTTTGATGTTCCCATGGAAATAACAATTGTACCCAGTTGCCAGTTCAATATATACCTCTACTAGTTTTAGTTATATGAACTTCATTTTGCCATGTTTGGTATCATTTTTGTTTTTTTGTTTTTGCATTTTTAGAAACAAAAATAATGGAAAGTTTGAAACATCTATCGTTTTCATGTCCATTTCAATTTTGATTGTGATGAGTTTCTTGTTCCCACAGACCTTGGATGAACCTAGGTCCAATAATAGAGGCCAAGAACTTGGACACAAAAAAAAGTTTGATTGAAATTTATCTCGTGTATAGTAAAAATCCACTTGAAATGAAATTGAATCACATTATTTTTCTTAGTATTTAAATTCTTGACATCTAGCATTACTAAATGTTCAAAAAGACTGAATTATGAATTTTAATCAAAGAAGGGACAAAAAAATGCTGAGAGAGAATTTAACTACACTAATTTTCTTGGTACTTTATTGTGTTTTACTAATGTCCATTTTAGCAAAAATGATTCATGTCACGATCACCAGATAAATTTCACCAATTTTTCACATCCTAAATGAATTCACAAAACAGACCAATATGTACGCGTAAAACTCACCGGTTGATTCACACAATATTTGTAATGCCCGCATAGCAGCTCATCTGTCTATTTCTACTCTTTTCTTATTCATTGCATACGTGAAAAAATGATTTGCATGGTCCAGAAGCATCTTGAGATAAAATTTAGAATTTAACATACCAAATAATCATATGAAACAAGTACATGATTGCCCCACAAACATTTATTAAGCTCTAGTCTGCAGCATATCAAGAAGAACCTGTCCAAAAACATTAAGGCAAATAAACGAGTATGAAAGCCATTACAGTCCAAACTTAAGTATAGCTTTGTTTGAAATTGCACATCAAACGAAAAAGCATTGTGACAGATCACATGCTAGTTGTGGAGCTTCAAGCTTCGACATTTGACTTGACAATAAAATTCTGGCGACTGATGGGGTTCATAACAACGGGAGAACCTGCTGTCCGAGGCCATGCCTGGAACTTCTTGTCAGTCTCTTCCCACCATTCTTTGTTCGAAACAGTTTTTGGGGTAGTGCCTGGTCAAAGGCCAACATTATATTAAATTGCTGCAACACAAGGGATGAAAATAACAAGAATAAACAGAAATTTACCTCCAAATATCTTCTTGTCAGCCATCAAATAGTCAAATGAGTATGAGATAGCAAAAGATCCCAAAACAGCAGATACTATGTACTTGGCTGTCATGTTTAGCCTGCACCAGCAGAAGCAAGAAAAATCAGATGTTGGACAGATCTGGTTGTTTGCGGAATCTCAAGTTTTTCCGTCGACCAGCACCGTCGTCTTCGAAGAAGAGTTCAATCGACGACTGTGTTCTCTCTTATTATTGGGTTTCATCTCAATACCATAAATCTCGAAGCATTTGCTGTGCCTGGTATCACATCTTGTTATTGTCTGGTGCAATCAATAATGCTCTGTGATAAGCATCTTCCTTTTGGCAGACTTGAAGACCCACTCACTCATATTTTATTCCACTATCACCATACACCCACTCACTCACACCTCCACTACACTACACCTACTACCACCTCCTCTTCTATATATAGGAATCATGAATCATTGTAATATATAGATCAATACATCAATCAATAATACATCAGTTTTTCTTACTCAGAGAATTGTGACTGTCTCCACGGGTTTCAGGTGTGTCATTCGTTGGGAGGAGGGACTGGATCGGGGATGGGGACACTATTGATATCGAAGATTAGGGAGGAGTATCCGGATCGGATGATGCTGACTTTCTCCGTGTTTCCGTCGCCGAAGGCGTCCGATACGGTGGTTGAGCCTTCCAACCCCACGCTCTCTGTGCATCAGCTAGTTGAGAACGCCGATGAGTGTATGGTTTTGGACAACGAGGCTCTCTATGATATTTGCTTCCGAACACTCAAGCTCACCACTCCCAGCTTTGGAGATTTGAACCATTTGATTTCTGCCACCATGAGTGGTGTCACCTGTTGCCTCCGGTTTCCTGGTCAGCTGCACTTTGATCTCCGCCAGCTTGCCGTCCACCTCATCCCCCTAAACCACCGTACCCGACTCGTCGATAAGTACATACTGGGTCGCGAACGGGGTCGAGGCGAATTTGGAGTCACATACCTCTGTTCCGATCGAGAACCCAGAGACGCCTTGGCTTGCACATCCATATCGAAAAGCTCTTTTGCATCTCCCTTCTTCTCCATGAGCAGCCGTGGTTAACTCTTCTACAGAGATGGTGAAAATAGAGGCAAATAGATCTACTTTTTTATCTATTTCTTTTACTTTTTTTTTTTATTCTCCTTATCTGTTTATCCCATGTGTGTCTCTCTTTATTCCCACTTCTTTCCCCTTTCCACTCAAATACTTCTCCACTACCTCATCTGCATATGAATACCCAGCTCACTCTCCACTTACGTTATTATTTATTTATTTCTTTAAAAAAAAAAAAAAATCGCCTTTCACACCCACTTGGCCATCACTCACAGATGCACATTGATTTCTCACTTTACACTGTCTCTTTTCCTTTCTTTTTATTTTACTATTTCAATCCCCTACTTTTTTGTCTTTCCAATCAGGCCAGTGTCTGCCTCCACTCAAGTTTTTTTGTTAATTTATTTATTTATGTTTGTTTTTTTTTTTTTTTTTTTTTTCTAAATAAAAAACAAAAAAACATAGTAAGTAAATGACTAAAATATATTTAGAAAAAGTTTATCATTTACTGTTTCCCTAAACTCTTATTACACTCTACACCATTTTCTTGAAACTTCCATTACATTTCAATAATTCTCCCCAAACTTATGCATCAGGGCCGTGTGTCAACAACCTCCTCCTCCTCCTCCTCATTCTTCTTCTTCTTCTTCTTCTTCTTATTATTATTATTATTATTATTATTATTAAAGTATGTAAAATTTATTATACAAAAATGTTTGAGATCCCAAAGTTGGGTACTCCATGACCCCCAAAATGATGTTGACCATTCAAGTTTTTTTTTTTATGAATCCTATAAATAAATAATCTCAATCTTATATTATAATTCGTCTAATCAAACAAACTCCAAGCATAATCAGAATAAGTCACATGCCCTGGAATTTTTATTTATTTTTTAAATCTTAAAAAAAAAAAAAACCAAACAAAAAAACAAACAAACAACAACAACAGCTTTGTTTTCTTTTCTGCAGCGGCCACACATCAACCTCACTTCTTCTCTACTCTGCCGCCGGTTTTTTTTTCTTGCCTCCGTCCTGGGCGGCCCTTGACGGTGTTGCCTCCGTGTTTCCCACTCCACTGGGCACGATCACTCCACCCTGCTCCTCCACTACAGCATATGGCGGACCTCCAAATCGGAACATAACGGTGGCCTTCCGCTTCAGCTCCTTATTTTCTGCTTTCAGCATACTTATCTCTGCTCGCGCATCCTTATACATGCGTTGGAGCAGAGCCAGTTGGGCGTTTAAATGCTGCACCTCATTTGCCCTAATCTGCAGCCGGTTCGACAAGTTTGTAACCGTAGTCATGGTTTCCACACATGACTTTAATGTATACTGATTGGCTTCCACATCCGACTGCACTGCCATTCTTTGCTCCACAGACCGCATCGGAAAGTTCAGCGGAGTAAACTCCGGGGCACTCGGTTGAGGTTCCAGTGCCACCGCTCCAGTTCTCTCTCTTGTTGCCTCGTTGAGGTCGGGAAAGAGGGTGAGCAATCCACGGGAAGACGAGGCCATTTTCTGGGCAACAAAGTGTTACAGACTATCTCTCTCAGCACAAGGAACTCTCTTTCTCAGCAACACGAAGGATTTTTCAGAGGTTTCTCTCAGTTTTTCTCTGCCTCAGCCTCTGCCTTCGTCTTGGTTATATAGCCAAGGCAGCCACGCGCATCGCGTGCCTCTTCCCACCAGCCGACAAATGGGCGCGCCAACCAAGGCACTCACGTGCCTCGCCATGATGAATCCGGCACACTTTTTGATGAATTGGGCTCGCTTTTTGATGGCACGCCTTTTGATAAAATTGGGCACGCCTTTTGTGGGTGCAACTTTTACAACGGTCCGACATGACCCTATAAACTGTCCCGACATACGGTCCGACATGACCCCATAAACTGTCTGCTACAACGGTCCGACATGACCCCATAAACTGTCTGCTACAACGGTCCGACATGACCC